AATAAATCACAGTCATGTTTTTGATGTACAAGCTGTACAGTCATGGAGAAATGTCTGCAGGGCTTATTTTATGTGCAGAGTTGCCTGCCCTGCCATAGAATGGCTCCAGGCTGCTATGTGTTTTCAGTTCCTGTATATATTTTTTTAAATAATGTATCTCTCTCCTCCCTGTTGTCAAGCTGTCAGTCAGCTGTCACTTTTTAAGGCTGTCAGTGAGCCTGCCTTTATCACACCCCAATTTGATGCTGTTAATCTGCTGTCAGCTGAAAAAAATCAGATAATCAAGACCTCTGAAATTACATTAACAATGTAAGTTGGTGGGCTGAGCAGTGGATGGAGTTTTTGAGATATGAGTTCTAGTTCTTCTTCTGCTTATATTTAGCTGTATGATTGTGGAAAGACACATAACGTCTCTGTGCTACCTTGGTGTCTTCATCCATAAAATAAGGAGGGTGTTTGTGTGTTAACAGGATTGAGGGGAGACACAGACAGAGACAAAGACAGAGACAGACAGAAAGAGAGAGACAGAAACAGAGAAAGACACAGAGAGCGATAGAGACACAGAGATAGAGACAGAGAGAGACAGAGACAAAGAAAAAAGAGACACTGAGAGATACGTCATGTAGATCTGAATCCTAAATTTCTCTAAGTATCAGAAAAAACTTAAGACTCTTAAATGAGTTAACAAAATTCAGCGAAGAGTACCACTGACACTTTAAGTATTGAATTCAAGGTTACTTTTTCAGTAATCATCTTACCTAACCTCAGTGTTCTGCATTCACTCCTGATCATCTTAAAACTCTCTCCCCTTTCTTCCACAGGACAACTTTCTCATTGTTGACCTACTGACTCTTAGCTTTTCTTCTCATTTCAATCATGGACTTTTCCTCCATCAACTCCTCAAGGGTCATTGGCGACTGTTAAAAAGTTAGGGTGATGACGAGGAACCAGAAAAGGAGCCTGACAAGCAGCAGCTTGTATGACAATCAGAAGATTGTTTATCTTTGAAGCTATCTAAAGAAGATGTGATAGTGTATGAAATGCCGCTAATATGTTAGAGAAAATGAGTACTGAGAAGTGATCACAGGATTTGAAGCATAGAACTCACCAGTGATCTTAACAAAAACAGTCTTAATGAAAAGATGTGAAGAAAGAACAGAAGGAATAAAGTTGGAAGCAGTAAATATTGATAATTCTGTTGAGAAGCTATACTACTAAGAAAAACCTAGAAATGAAGCAGTAGCAGAAGGGAGAAGGAGATTCAAGTAAATCAAGTGGAATCAAGTAAATGTAAAAAATAATGATTTTGTGTGTGTGTGCTAAAAGGAATGATTCAAAAGAAAGGAAAATAGGAATGATTCCAAAAAGAGGAAAACAAATGATGCAGACATAATGGAAAGAATCACTAGAACAAGAGTCCTTGAGTATGCAAAAAGAAGTTCTGGCAAAGACGTGGATATAAGGCCTTCCTCAGATAGAAGCAAGGTCAATTCATCCATAGCAACAGAAGTAAATATAGTGGTGTCAATGTATAAAAATTCCCTTCTGATTGTTCCTATTTTCTCAAGCTCAGCTGATGATGATCACAAATAACTTGGTATTTGAGGTTTTTGTTTAAAAAAGGAAGGCAGGATTTACTATCTAAAGAGGGGAAATATGTATGCTATGCTTGACAGATAATACAAAGGCCCTGTCTGAATTTAGGAGTAGGAATTTAGAACATACTATCAAGTATAAGTATGGTTGGATGTTTTTTCTCTAGTCATTTTTAATCTTGTAAGTGAATACAGAAAGTAAATAAAGAAATAGATTTAATCAGTTTGGGGATTTTGCCAGTCCAACACAAAGTAAATGACAAAAAAGATTTGAGATTCTAAGACATAAAACATAAATATAATGATGGAATACAGAAGTTAAGTTGCATAAAGAAAGAGAATAGGAAGAATAAATGTAAGAAGTTGACTCAATTAATGGAGGAGGTCAAAGGATTGTTTGAATAGGAATGATAAAGAAACTAAATAAAACAACCTCTCTATATTACACTGACTTTTTGGCAGAGTAGTTTTTTATTTTCATGAGTCACTTTCAGGAAGATGGGAGGTGGAGTGCGGACAATTCTTATATTCAGGTAGCAGTAATGCGCTTGGTTATAAATTAATGAGGGTTGGGGAGTTAATAATATTGTATTGGGTTCTATTATATCCAGCCATTATCCCTAGCCATCTGGCATGCATTAGTTTATTTAATTACTTCATCATCCCTATGAGGTGACAAGGTAAATATAATCAAAACCATTAAAGAATTTAGGTCCAGGGTCATTCCACTGGCACAAGTCACAGAGCTAATAAGTGGAAGCTAAGTATATGTATGTGCAACCACAGCATTTAAGAGCTTTCCCATCCCTAAACGTTTAAGACAGAAAAGGAAATATTTTCAAGATAATAATTTCTCTTGCTACTATTTTTCTAATATTCGGAAGTAAGGTAGGGATGGTGAAGAGAGCAATAGGTAATATACATGCCACTAGTCCAACATTACTGAATGTCTATGTGATAGTCATGCTCTTTTACCAGACAGTAATTTTATAAATCCTCATTAATTTTCCTAGAAATATGGCTTTTTCCTCTTCTTTGGTTAATACTTAGTATATTATATATAGCATACTATACTAATGATATGATAACTATATCTTAACTATATCTTATTTTGTTTTTATTTAAACTCATTTTTGCCATGAGCAAAATTATATATGCAGAGTGAAAGATACAAGCATTCAACAAAAGGTTTTTTTAATCACTTTGGCTACTTTGCCTTTGGAATTACTAAATATTTTCAACACCTCAACAAAACAATATGCTTTTTAAAATGCAGACATTAGAATTATTGTCATTCATGCAAATAATCACTTACTTACACTATATGGGTTCAGGTTGTAAAGCAAATTGCCATTAGAAAATAACTCAAATAACACTTTGGGCTAAGACTGTGCTTATGAATGCTTTCTTGGCCACTATATTTCTTAACCTTCTTCTATTTAGGTAGATTCTTTTATGCTAATATGGTCCAAATTAATAAACTATTCAATTGCCATAGGTGTATTAAACATAAGATGTTAAAGAAGAATATCAGATGCAAATAAATTTAGGATATTTCATTTATTTGGAAATTGCAAGCAATAATAATTAAGGTGAATTATAAACACTTAAGGATATGCATTTTCTCATAGAGTATGTGAAAAATTTATGAACTTACTTCAAAAAATAAGGCTGATCTTTTAAAAACTCAGATATATGACTGTGTTAAAGCTCATGATAAATCTAAAGTATAAAAACTGTAGTTTTCAGAAATTAAAAATCTCTCATCACACCTACAATAACTTATGTCTACAAAAAAGTTCTCCATTCATGTATTCAATCAAGTATAGATCAAAAACACTTGAGAAGGAAAAAATGTATCTGTACTTAACATGCACAATTTTTTTCTTGTTATTATTGCCTAATTAATACTATATAACAACTAAATTGGATAGCCTTTACATTGCATTGGATCCTACAACTAATCTAGAAATGACTTAAAGCATGCAAGAGGATATACTTAGGTCACACAAATAAAGACTTGGGCATATGCGGATTTTGGTATCCCTGGAGAGTCCTGGAGCCATTCTTCCTCCACAGGTATGAAAAGAAGACATGACCACACACACACGACCACACACACACACACACACACACACACACACACACACACAGTTGAACATTGTGATACTAGTTCCATTTAGCTTTATAGTTTTCAAAAGACCAAATAAATCATTAAATGTTATTGGCAAATGACCGACAATGACAGGAAGCTTTAACAGTACATGGAAATTTCAATCAGAAGTCACAGAACTTCGTTTAGACTTAATCCAGTCTGTGACAATAATAAGGCGACTGCAAGCCAGTCTCTACTTCTCTCTGCCTCTGTTTTCTGCAATCCATAAAGTAAGGAATGCAGAAAAAAAATGGTCTTACTTAAATTTTTTGCCTCAATAACTTGATTTGGTATGGTGCAGATTTTTTCATCAATGAAATATTAACTAGTAAGACACTCAAATAATTCAACATTGTGGGTACAGATGAGAACTACTGTCCCAACAGCAAAATCTGGATGAACTGAGTAAGTTTAGAATATAATAACTAACACTGACATCCTGCACAGCATGTATAGATATTAAATCATTTCCTGCCTTCACTTGAGAGATGTGGAAGAAACAGCTGTCCCTGAACTCCTTTTAAGGACACACTCAATTACAAAACAGCAGCATCCCACTTTGTGTGAGTCCCACTGAAGTAAACTTTCTATTCACAAGGGAGAAATATTCCTGGTAGTAGTAAAAATAGTTTTGCAGGATTTAATCAAACGTGAAAAAGAATTCCAAAATGTTCCCTTTGAGCCACATCATCCATTGCTAATTTAAGGTGGGCCCAGTAACAAGGGTAATAAAAAATGTCCTTAGTAACTGAGAAAGAAAAATGGCTATTAAGTGCATGTGCAACTCAATATGGAAAATTTAACTCTTTATTAATATAAATAAAAATAAAAAAGGAAAAAGTAGAAGAAAGGCATCCAAACAATGAAATTTAACATTGATTTATTTAGAAAAGTTACTATTATGCATATAAACCAATGGGCAAAAGTTGAGAAATACGCTTGACAATAACTTCTGTAACAATAACAACAACAAAAAAACATTAAGTGTTGAAAACCAAAGTAGCCTACGAGGACAAATATATATGAGTAAAGAAAGGAAGAATGTAGTATCTGTACTGACCACTCAGTGATAGTTTGGACACATGAGTATTTAAAATCTTTGTAAATCACAGCATGGTGAGATAGAACTCAATTCTCTAATTAATCATGCTGATGCTGAAAAGTTACAATTGGCAAGAAGAACACCAACTTCTACATATTTAAGATGTAATTTATGACACAAAATTGAGAACAGAGTCAAAGACACTGACCTGCTCACATCAGGAAACCTGATGGGAAAGTAAATAACTTGGCACTTGGGTCTGATGATGCTTTCCAGATCCTTGGGTCTGTGATCAGGAATCAGCTTCATAAATTTTCCAACAGAAGTGAGAAATGACTCCATATTAAAAACTGAGTTGAATACAATCACGTCAGCCACTAAGCTGTAAAGGGAAAAGATAAATGCAAATGATGAGATTAGATTCATTCAAAGTTATTTTTATCATATAAAGTCTGTATTAATCAGAGTTTACACTGCACCTTAGGCTTAAAAAGAACATTCTATTTCCCCTCAGTATCTATCAAAATGTCTCTAATAGGAAAGTTAGTTTCATTAGTACTCTATCATAGAATCTGTGTTGGTGCCACCAAGGAGGAAAGGCAATAGTATTGAAAGACTTAGTCCGATCACATGAGACGACAGACGAAACCATATGTCCCCTTAATGCCAGGAACTTTCCACATCAACAATAATATTAAGTACACCAAGAATTCTTTTGGTAACTAACCACATTAAGTTTCTCTAACAGTGATGCACTTCATTTTACACTACACTACTGAGAACAGGATGCTCATAATACTTCTAATTAGCTAATTCATATGAAGCTATTTTCATACTAGACCATAATATATACAACACTATTTGATTAAGATCTATTTCCTGCTTTAGCTTTTGCTTTAAAAAGCTTGTGTTACATTTTTTAAAATTCTGAGACTATACAGGAAGGATGGTATACCTACAAATAACTTATTTCACTACTACATTCAGGATAATCAGAAAAGTAGAAAAAATTAGTGGAAGTGGATCCAGAAATCCATACCATTCGATCCTGTTCATTACATAAAAGAATGAATCATAAAAGACCGTAATACAATAGATCTTTAGAATTAAACAAAGCAAATGTGATATTGCCTACTGCTTTTCACAAAAAGACTGTGTTCCTCTCTTTAATGTTTTTAAAATAAAATAAATTGTTACATGAGAATACGAAAGCAGAGCCAGGCATGGTGGTGAATGCATGTAATCCCAGCATTCTAAGAGACTGAGGAAGGAGGATCACAAGTTAGAGAAGCACTGTCTCAGACTAAGAAAATAAAAAGAATGGGGATGTACCTCAGTGTGAAGGTATTGGGTTCCATCCTTAGTACCAAAAAAAAAGGAAAATTTTTTTGTGACATAAATTTGTCAGCGGTTTTCAGATTGTCTATAAAATTTTCTTGGACACTAAGGAACAAAAACAGTAACTGAGAGGAACTGAGTAAAACCTGAATATGTAGTGCTTTCTCTTTATGAATCAAAAACTGATTTAATAAATCACTATTCTGATTTCTGAAAATGCCTTGTTTTATTTAACCAATGATTCAATGTCCTTGTATCTTAGTGAAATGCATACAAATACTTCCACAAGCAGGTAACATAAGATTAAATATACAAAACAGTTGGTTTTATTCCATCCTAAAAAATATATAATAGATAAATAACATTGAAAAGAAGACATACAAGGGAGGCTGAGGTAGGGGAATGGCAAGTTTGAGCCCATCTCAAAAAAAGGAAGACCCTATCTCAAAACAATTGTTTGTAAATTTAAAAAATAAAAAGGGCTGGAGATGTAGTAGGGCAAAAGCCCTGGGTTCAATCTCCAATCTCACAAAGAAAGAAAAGAAAATGAGAAAAGAAGAGAGGGGAGGGGAAGGGAGGGAAAGGGAGAAGGAGGAAGAGGAAGAGGAAAAAGGAGAAAAGATGTAATTCTATAGGACTGCAAAACAATAAAATCAATATAGCTTATGGACTAGATTAGAACTATCATACCAAATCCTCAGATTAGTTTACATCATATTTACTAAGCTAAATTTACATTTATTTATATTTTTACTGAGATAGATTTACTATTATTAATACACAGTAAAATGAAAAACCAATGAAAGAAATGTTGACTTGCCACCCCCATGCCTCCTTTCCAAAGTTACTTTTGCATGCAAGTATTTTTCTTTTAGTTGCTACCTGGTGCAAACCTAGGAGATGAGGATGATTACAACATGGACAATACAAAGGAATGTCACAGAAGTGCTGACACAACACTAAGCAATACAGAAGCCAGTATAACAATATACCAAAAGTTGAAGAATGTTTTACAGCTAGTCTGTTTTCACCATATGTCACATATTGTAATAGCGGCCCAAAGATCATAATATATAGTTATGACATGTGCTCGTAAGTCAGAGGGTTAGTGAAACCTCCGTTTAAGGTGAGCGCTTATGTCAGTCATCTTTAACGTCCTTAACTGCCACACAGACAAGAAAGAAATCTGACAGTGCCGACAAAAGCAGAAGTCAGCAAGAAAACTAAAGAAACATTTGAGGAAGCAGGAATCATACTTTTCAAAGAGAATCAGAACAGGACTGCTTTTTCTGACACTCTGATTTTTCTTCTGGACAACTGTGAACCATTTTTTCCCCATTAATAAACCGAAGGGTGATGAAGGCCACGTCTTTCCCTCCAAGCATGTCTATCGGTTTACCCTCTTGAGACGGAAAACACAAAAATCATGTGCAAGCTTTTATAGTCTATTTCTCCATGAATAAAAACAATTTTTTTATAAAAGGCAGGGGGGTAGTGAGCAATTTTTTTTAGATATCTGCCCTCAAAAGGCATGCAACCCAACTACTTATACTCTTCAAAATCTGATCTATCACACATTAAAAGATTCAAAACAGTTTACAGAAATATTCTTTTTGGTACATTTCAGCCTGATACGAGGTGTAATTTCCATTAACTTTAAAACCACACAAAAAAGGAAAAATAGACTTTAATTTTTTTCCCAGTGATTTCTCCAGGGTAATAAACACACACTATCTAAAGAAAAAACTGGTGCTAATTCAAGAAATCATAAAAACATTGCAAATGTTTCCATATTGATAAAGCATAAAATGATTTTATTTTTTAAAACACATTTTCTTTCTCTGTTTCAATATGAAATATTTTAATTTTATTATGAAATTTTAAAGCAGTGGCTTTTTATGAGATATTTGACATGAAGCAGTTCTATTCTATTTTTTTTTTAGTTCTATTCTATTTTGATAGCACTGCTACTTTGCAATTGAAGCAGCTTGTAAAAATGATTGCAGGAAAACATTTACAGAATGCTCAAAAGACAGAATTATTATCATATAGCTGTTTTTTTCTATGTCAACTCAACTACAGAACAGACTTGCAAGAGAGGAGGATCTGTTTAAACATATTATCAATCCCAATGACTAATAACCGCTAATAAAGGTTAGTAAAATGTATATAATCACTGCCAAACTGATTCCATTTGATTGGAGCACTTATGTGACTAAGATCCAATAGCAAAGCCATTTCAGAGTTGTTATTAACTTCTTTCATTAACAAAGTATCAGGAAATAGACTTTGTTGAAGCAACAATAAAGACAGATCCTCACCTTTAAAATGTCATGGTATTTTAAGGCTGTATCATTTCAAAGATTTGATGAGGAGAAAAGAACACCAAAAAATTCATTTTCTTTTAAAAACAACAAAAAAGACAGGGTGCTCTATTCTGTATTAATTTTTATTTCTCTGCAAATTTCTATTTTAATTTGAGCTGAATACAATGAAAGAGGTTGATAACTATAAATTGACTAACTGCCCCTTCTAAAAGCATGCCTTAAACAATAAATCATGGAATCAAGGGGTGAAGGACCCTGCCAACCTCTTGATTCTATTTTTAATGTTATGAAAAAAGCTAATTAGTCTAATGTATAATCAGACTGTTTTATATTTTTTTTAAACAAAGAGTATAACTATGATCCTATATAAGCTGCAGAATCACAAGTACTTACTATCATAGAAGGGATGTTTAAATCTTGGCAGCAACCTTATTGTGTTTATAAGTATACAGTAGGGCTCCAGATTTAAAAGCTAACCACCTCCAAAGAAAAAGATGGGAAAGGACAGAAAACAATGCAATCTATACCCACCATGAAAGAATTTGGTTATATCCATATTGAAAATCCCTCTCCTGACATTTCTTGACAGGATACACCAATTGGTTTTCGTGAAAGTACAGAATCTTTTTCAATTTCCCAAGGTCAGGCCGAAGGGCAGCCAGTTCGGTCAGGTTAAGCACTGAGCTTGCAAAAAGAATCCTAGAAAACAAAGAAATTAGAGTTTACTGTCCTACGTATGTTTGACGGGGTTATCGTTTGCCCTTCCCTCTTCTTTCCTCTTCCCAACCCAAGGAAACCATATCATCTATAGGGACACATCAATAGTTGAGCTTTAATACCATGTAGCAGCATTCACATTCTAAGTTTTGATCTCATAAAAAGCAACTGCTAAGAACTATAAAAGCCCTGAATCTCATTGGTCTTCTCAGCTCAGTTACTAAGAGATTGGGAAAAAAAAAAAAAAAAAAAGAACCTGGATGGATTTTATTGAAAAAAGCAAGAAAAGCACTATCTGAAGGACAAACAGAACAAAGATAAGGCTGACTAGGGAATACTTCGCTAGTTTCATTACACTTGCTTTCTTTATGCAACCAACTACTGAAATTCAATACAGGAGCAGGAATGGCACATGTGCGTGTTGTGACATAAACCCTTTTGATTTATGCAACAGACTTATCTACCATGATCTTTTTCTCTTGGCATGTTTTCTTACCCACCCTCATTTGAAATATCCTATAATACTTGTATTTTAAAAAATCTTTTCTTCTCCATTATTGAACTGCAAAGGCACTAGATATACAATCTATAAAACCCTGATATAGAGCACCAATTAAAAATTTCACGAAAGGTTGATTCGTTGTCTTTGGGAAAAAAATAAGCTGAAAGCGTACCTCCCTGTGATAAAAAGCAAGTGTTTATTTACTCTCTCATTCCATAAACATTTCCTTCAATGACTACTCTGTGATAGAATGAAACCAGGACAAACAGAAAAGATGAACAAGGCACTTCACTGGATGAATATTGTCTGTAGTAGAGACATATATGAAGTATTAGAGGATCAAAGAGAAAGGAGTAATAATAGAGAGAGAGAACCTAAAAATGTTTCCCTAATCAGCTGTCTACCATACAGGAACACAAAAGAAAGACAAAGTGCAGTCCCTGAACAGCAGAGGACATTTAGATGGCACAATTTTGATAGAACGACACCTTTATAACATCATGTAGCATCCTTTGACCCTTCTGGGTTTAATTCTCATTCAAAAAAATGAGGTTCAAGAGGGTTAAGAGTTCTTTCTGAAATCACACTGGTAGAAAGTTTTAACAAAGCAGAGACTATTGGTCTTCTAAGTGTGAAGTGCTTTACATTATACCACAGATACAAATTGGTTGTGGACCCCTTACACTGCAAATGCTCTATTCTGTACTTAATAAATATAAAATATCATCATTGTTATTACCGTGATTACAACTACAATAAATTCTCCCTTGCTGACAAGCCAAATGGCTAACTTCAGGTGTTTATATGATCTGCAGCACTAGCCTTTCACACAAGAAGAATGATTACATACTAAGTGCATATATCATAAATAGGAACTCAAGTGCCTTCTTCATAGGCTACAAGAAGCACATAAGACCAAAAGCCAGTAATCCCTCTTTAAACCACATATTAATTTTATGGTTTATTACTTTAAAGTTTTAAAAAATCTCGAGAGGCGCCTTTTTTTTTTTTTATACTCAACTAAAGCAAACAGGAAAATTATGGTCAGATAATGCTCTGTTTTGTCCAAAGATAATCCCTGTCACTACCACAACCATTAAGTACAGTACTTTCTAGAACTTAAAAGGAAAAATTCTGAAAATATGAAGATATTTGTTTACCTACAAATCTGATCCTCAGCAGAGGAAAAAATACTAACTTTTAAAAAAATACTAATTTTTATAAATATTCCTTAAAAGTGAATGAATGACAATTTGTGCGTCTATTATTGAGTGATTCTCCTTTTCCTTCTATTCTCCCTCCCCTCCCCCCACATGCTATAGTACAGCTGTTTTAATGAAGTCCTGAACAAGCTGAATGTTTTTCACACACCAAGAAAAAATATGTGTTAAATATAGCCCCTTTATGACGAATTCATTACAAAGAAAAAATGCAATGAGTGTGGCTTATTCATTCCAAGAACTGTAATGAAGAAATCTGGTAGATACCGACTTGACCAAGTGAGCAAACTTAGTATAGTACACCAATAATAAAAAATCATGTATCCTTAAATGTGACGCACTGAGAAAGATACAAATAATCAATGTAGTATTTCACCTCAGAATGCCTGATCTGAATTTGCTCATGAGGAAATAATCCAACAAATATTCTTCAAAATAACTATGTTGCAATTTCCAAAAATGTTAATGTCATAAAAGAAAAAAATCTAGATTAGAGGAAAGTAGAGAGATCTCAACACAAAATTAAATGTATAATCCTTGATTGTTGTAAATGTTAACTGACTGTGTCAACTTGAGTAAGAAATGCCCAACTAAAGTGGATCAGCATAGTTAGCTCTAAGTGTTGCTGAAGGGATTCGTTGAAGAAGACCCACTCTGGGTTTGAGTAACATCAACCATTAGGGTTTTTTCTTTTCCTAAATGGAATTAAAAGGGAAATGAAGAAGAAAGGCTCACTTCTGTTTCTTTAGAGGAACTGTAGTCTTCACCTTTACCTTGGATGTCATCTCTTGGCTTCCAGTGCAGCCTTTTCACCCTCCAGTAGAGACCTTTCCCTTGCGATATGGACTCCCAGGGGACACTGCAGTGAGCTTTAGCCCTTTGACCAGATCCTTTAGATCTCTAGCCAGGGAGCCCTTCTGCACTTTTCCACACCTGACTCTGTGGGCGGCCACTGTACGCCAATCTTGTAAACGCTTACATATTTGTATATCTTGCATTAAATGTTTCTCTAGTAAGCACTGACTGATACAACTGAATACTGGAATGGGAAAATATAGCTACAAAGGACATTATCAGGACAACAAGAGAAATGTGAATATGGACTGAATGTTAGATAATACATTTTTACTGATCTTGAATTTCTCATGTGTAACACTTTTATTCCAGTTACTTAGGAGAATATCCTTATTCTTAGAAGATTCATGTCAAGTTATTTACATATAAAGAAAGTGTCATGGTGTCCGCAAATAATGTCTGAAATGGTTCCCTAAAAATGCTACTACTAATAATAAATATTCGTATGTATATATTTACAGAGATAGAAATTTAAAAGCATCCAAAAAAATTAGCAATTGATAATCTGTGTAAATTGGATGCAATTCATTGTCTTATTGTAAATGTTTAAATACTATATATATGTGCATTTATAAACTATAGTTTTGAGGGAATATATATTAAATAATAAGTGAAAGAAAAAATATTCTCCATTCCCTAAACAACAAACTCATCAAACATATGTTCTTCTAGACATAATCCAACTGCTAATTTCCTACATAAAGATTTCCTCAAGTTGAACCATCTGTAGCAAATGTTTAACCAAGGCAAGTCCTTTGCTCCACTTTTACTATCTGTCCCCTCTCCTGACCTAACCTCTCAACGGATCCATAACTAAAGAATCCAAACTGAAAGTTGAGCCTTCTGAAGAATACCTCCCAAATAAGAGAATGCAGCATCATCAGAAGAGAAACAGCAATAATTTCATAATACTACCCATCTGAAACTGCCCACACAAGACTTCACCTTAATTAAGAAAATTAATTGTACTTTAATACCAAACCTGGAAACACTCTGCATTTATCTCCATCATTAGTAAAGTATTTCTCTTTGTTTTTTCACTTATGAAATGGTAGTTGAACTAGACAGTAAGTAATTCCTCATATCTTTAATTCAATGCCCCAAAAAAGTGATGATGTCCACACACACAAAAAAAGCAGGTATGAGCCACAGGCAAGTGTTATTTTGTTCCCTACCATTAATTTTTTAAAGTTGATAATTATACAATGAATGGCAGCACTCAATCAGCAGTTAATCCCTAGGCTACCATTGTTCATCCTGCCTCAGGTATTATTTAAGCAATAAATTCTAACAAGGTGCACTTTATCATCCCACTGTGTGACTCTGGCAGGAAGGGCACAAGGTTATAGCAAAAACCACTAGGAACAAGATAATTCCTGACAGCTGCTGCTTGAGCACAAGGTAAATTGAACAGTTTATCTTGGCATGAAGATGTTATAAGGTTTTATGTTTAATATTTTAAAATTAACATAAAACCCAGAGAAAGCAGTTGGGCAATCTTTCACAAACATGACATACTACAATCACTGTATAAGCTGGATTAGTACTTATTACCATCCTACTACAGAATTAAGCTGTTTTTAGACCACCAAAGAGCTTTAAATTGCAACTTTTGTCTCTGTAAAAGAAACCCATATTTAAAATGTCTGCTAAATTCAAATTAACGGCTACATCATTAGCTTACCATTTCACCCAAAGTACAAGTTGCTATTATAATTGTCTAACCAAAATGGCTCTATGCTGTAAGCACATTAACATCATTCCACGTATTTGGGATGGTACCCATATAGATATTTTAATTGTTTTCAGTGAACACTGTATGTATAATTTGAGCCATATTGGCTTAAAGAATTCAAAACAACACAATAAAATTCAAGATTATGGATTTTACTCTTTTCTGTTGTTTAAATAAACCTGAATTTTTGCTTTTTACCTTATTTATATAACATGTAAAAAAGAAATGCTGAAATATACCCAAGTCCTGTAGCTTTGTTAACATTATTATCAAGATACACACTTTTCTATCATAAATGGCATGGAGAGGCAGTGGAATAAGAAAAAGAGGACAGACATTTTATATTCCAACTACTGCCCATACAATCTACTGATTATCGTTCATGAACTCGGTTGTCTCACTCTTGCCTCATGAAATCTTTTCAATAGGACCCCCTCCCCCTTGAAACCATTTATCTCCCAACAGGATAGAGTACACAATTTTAACAGATACTAGTTTAGCTTGTGTTAGTCATACTTCAGTGATTTCTTGCATGGCTTCAGTAGGCCTTGGACAAGAGTAAATTTTTCCAGCTGGATTACTTCACTCAAAAGCTAAACTCTACATGGATTCATGTTGTTCAACTTCTATAACAAAGATTTTGCTCTTTTCTTCCTTCTTTTGGGTTCCT